TGCACATATGCAGACAGAATGGACAGCATTCTGGTCTTGTCATCCTCTGCCCAGGAACAAGGCAGAATTTGCATAGAATACTAATAAAAAATGGACAAAAACCATACTAGATTTTAAAAAACCATGTCCATTGAGTTGGTGATGCATTTTGAAGGTAATTGTGTATTTAAGAATGAAGAAGAGATGATAAAGTAATCCCCCCTTTTATCTCTGAAGCCTATAAGCTTGTAATCCACTGATTATCTGAATATGTGGTTAGTCTTTTAACTTGTTTCTACAGATGTATAATATAGAATGTGCTGCTATAGTACTTACACAAGAAGTTTCTGTGTTACAAATATATACCTTGTACTCTATGAAATTATTCCACGTAATGACACCCACAAGAGAACATTCATTAGAAAAAGCACTGAATTTTAAATCTGCTTCAATTTGACACTCAGTATCTATAAGATGAAGATTAAATTTTGTTGTTGGTGGTAGTGTATTAAAATATTTGAATTACAATTTCAAAATATTTGTAAATGTTGCTAACATTTACAGATAGAGATATCACATAAAATTCTATATTCCTCACTTCTTTCAAAAAGCCAATTTACTTTGCTTCCCTATGCCTTATTCATCTCATTTTTTAAAATGGGAATGGTGGTGGCAGTCTCCTAATAAGTACCGATTGTTTGGGAATAGATGGGGTCTTTTGCATATGGTGTTGTGAGACTTAATGAACCATTATATATCAAACAGTGAACACAGCATGGTACAGAACTGACACTCCACTCATGATGGCCAGCACTGTTTGCAGACTCAAAAGATCACTGCATTCCTGTTTTCTGAGGATGATCTCCTGGCATCCCAGCCTCACAGCTCCAACCTTTGCTGATTCAGTTGCCAGAGACCAGCCAGTGAGGAAGCCCCACTGCACATATGCAGACAGAATGGACAGCATTCTGGTCTTGTCATCCTCTGCCCAGGAACAAGGCAGAATTTGCATAGAATACTAATAAAAAATGGACAAAAACCATACTAGATTTTAAAAAACCATGTCCATTGAGTTGGTGATGCTATCCAACCATCTCATCCTCTGTTGTCCCCTTCTCCTCCTGCCTCAATCTTTCCCAGCATTAGGGTCTTTTCTAATGAGTTAGTTCTTCACATCAGGTGGGCAAAGGATTGGAGCTTGAACTTCAGCATGAGTCATGCCAATGAATATTCAGGATGTATTTCCTTTAGTATTGACTGGTTTGACCTTGCAGTTCAAGGGACTCTCAAGAGTCTTCTCTAACACCACAGTTCAAAAGCATAAATTCTTCAGTGCTCAGCTTTCTTTATGGTCCAACTCTGGGAAAACCATAGCTTTGACTATATGGACCTTTGTTGGCAAAGTAATTATCTCTGCTTTTTAATATGCTGTCTAGGTTTGTCATAGCTTTTCTTCCAGGGAGCAAGCATCTTTAATTTCATGGTTGCAGTCACCATCTGCAGTGATTTTGGAGCCCAAGAAAATAAATGACAAATTATATATATATGAAATTCATACATATATGAAACTAAGATTTTGTAACCTATTGAAGTTTAAATATTCTTATTGGCAAATTAGGGATAAAACCCTATTTTCTTGACCTGCACGCTATTTCAGTGAATCTTGCTACCTGCTTTCAGCTTTTACTTTTTATCCTATTTATGTTGAGAGCCTCTTTCAGAGAAAAATAACTAAGATATATATGAAAACACATACTGTGAAGCAACGAGTCTTGAGGGTGGAATTTATTCACTTGAAGGAGGATAGCGAATTTTCATTAGAAACACAGTGCTGCATTTTTCACCCAAAGCTCTGTGGTTTATTTTTCTGTCTTTGGGAATTTCACAAACAACACGTAAAATCTAGCCAAACCTTTGAGGTTTGCTTTTCCATAAGTATATGGAACATGCCAAAGGCTGCAACTGGAGCCAAAGGAAACAGTGGAAACCACGAGACCTGCTGGCCTGCCTCCTCTCTCCTCTGCTTGATCTTAAGATCAGGAGAGGAAACCACCTGAGTTGCATTTGTATATGGTTAGAGCTCTCGCGAACGAAAACTCCTCGCTAACAGTTCTTGTTTAATTTGAAATAAAGGGATAAAAGTATTCAATTCTAAGGAAGTAGAGACTGTTTTGTTCCTACCATTGTTGTTCCTTTTTTAAACTTATATCTTCATTATTAACATTTCAAGGAGCCTCTGCATAGGTGCAGGTAACTGCAGTGTGCACCTATTTCCAGGGCTTCTGGAAGCCACAGTGACCCCAGTATCTCCTTAGGAAAACTAAATAAGTGGACTCTACTGGGCCCCACCAGCTGGCATAATAGACTGTGTACTGCTTGAAAACAGAGTTAACATGCTTTAAAATTCCTTTGTTAGTCATTGGTAAGCATCTAGGATATTATTGAGTAAAAGTTTACTTTTAACTTTTTTCATCTCAGTTTATACCGTGGACAGGGCTGCATCATACACTACATTTGTCTTCCTTGTCTCTATCCCTTAAGTACCATACCCTTCTCCAGTCCCAATCCTTATTACATTGTTGTGCAAATTCAATTTAACTAAGACCTATTAAGCAATATAATTTCTAGAGTCTGATTGCTGGAGTTACTTAACCTTTCACTGCCTCAATTTCATTATCTACTTTAGTCTTCATAGGATTGTCGTGAGATTAAGTGAGTGAGTACATATAAAATGCTTACAACAGTGCTTATTATCAATAAATTGGAAATGATCAATAAATATTTGCCACTAATCAGCAAGGTGGTAGTAGCACTAATTAGTAGGATGTCCTAGTTGCATGTCACATATTAGAATATGAAGATAGGAAACTTGGAGAAGTCTTAAGAAGCATAATTAAAACCTTTAATTGATAGCGTTTGATAACAGGCCTGCCTTCTTCAGTGTTATTTGTGTTTTTATTGAGGTCAAATACCAAAGATACATAAACTCTCAGGCTGACGTTCCTTGCACTTTGTCACTTTGTAGAAGAGAACTTTTGGAGAGCCGGGCAGTTTTACTCACTACTTTATTCAATTACACATTTTTCTTTGAGCAAAGACTGAGTTACCTGGTGGTCCTGTGCCAGCTAGGTAGGGTAATTCTAGCTGCTGTAACAAAGTTCAAAATTTCAGTGGTGTAAGAAAAGGCAAGTTTTATTCTGATTCATGCAATCATCCAGTGAGTACGCTCCTGCTTGGCATGCAGCTTTTCTCAGGGGGTGGTTCAGGGACATAGGTCCCTTTGTCTGGCTCCACTATCCCCCTGGGCCTTAAAGGGCTATGCTTCTTATCACAAGATGGAGTAAAAAAGGAAAGATAAGGTAACATTGCCTATTAATTTCTTTGTTCTGAAAATGAAAAATTCCACATTTTTATTTGAATTTGTCAAGACTCCATCCAAATGCAAGAGAAATTGGGAAATAAAATAGTCCTTGTGTAGCTGCTTATAAAAAACAAGTTTATCCTACAGAAGAGAGGGAGTAACCTTGTTGTATGATTAGTCACTTCTTCCACACAAGGCTCCAGGGATGAATCTAAGACCTGCTCTCATTTATTAAGGGAGAAGTAGGGCACAGTTTGGAAACCAGGAGATGAGGTTCTTCATCAAGTCCATGAAGGTCAAGTAATGCTCTAAAGAGGATATGACACCACACTTGCATCATAAATGCACACAGTTCAGCCACACAAAAGGAAAGTCACCATATTTTAAAAAAGAAACAATAATTTGCAGAAGTATTGAGGCCAAGTAATTCCAAAAGCCTGAACACAGGTGTTCAAAGCCAGCTGAAAGATGAGCAATACATTCAACTGTTCAATGTTTTGTAGGGGCCATAAGCTAATTTTTAGGAAAATTACCCTAAATACAGTGCATAACACATTTGAAGATATTAGAATCTCGGAAAGCCCCAAGAGTTGGTATTGGACAGGGAAGTCTGGCATGCTGCAGTCCATGGGGTCACAAAGAGTCGGACACCACTGAGCAACTGAACTGAACTGAGAATCTCTGAAGCTAGTTGACAGATGAAGAAATGTAAGTGGATAATGGCATATTGTGCAGAAAAATCAAAGAAGCTTTAGCATTTCACCTCCTATATGGCTGCCCATTTTTGTTTGTTTTTTTTTTTTTGCATGTGATTTATGCCGTTCTTTGCATATTCCAACACAAACAAGTATTTTAAAAATGGATCAAAACTTTTATAAGCTTTTGGAGAACTGTGTTGCTTTTTCATTTCTTTTAAACATGTTGCAAAACAAGAATAATAATGAGAATCAACATATGCATATAATGTACAATACTATGACTGGTGAACTAAGTATCCATTATGCTGGACTCAAAGAAACAGACTCTCTCTCTCTCACACACACACACACACACACACACACAGGGGACAAAGTCAATTAGGAACTGAGTATAAAGTGAAGGAACATTGAGCTCTATTTGCGTTTCTTCTGATCATTTACTTCCGTTACATATCCCATAGTTAATGTCCTAGTGATTGTAAATCCACTAGGAGATTTAGCTTACATATGAGTAACCATCATCCGCTCAATATTTTCTGGGAACTTGGCTGCCATTTGTGTTCATCAAATATTTGAGAGTTATTTTCAAAGACTCTGGGCTGTCCAGTGCCAAGCTATCATTGGCCCAGCAACCTACCCTCAATTCCTAAGTAGCTTCTTTCTAGAGAAATTTAATCTGCATGTTTCTAATCTATTTAAAATTAGATCATGAAAATATAGTTTTATAAGAGCTATCCAAAATCCTTGTGAGAGAGTTTCTTTATTTTTCCCCTATTAAATGAAGATGTCGCATTTGTTAAACTTCAAGTATGCTGCAAAGCTAGAAATGTCTTAGAGACGGATTTTAAAACTTGGCAGTCTCTATTCTTTATCCCTAAGGCATAGAGTAGGTACTTTGGAAGTTTCTTTGTGCATTCATTTTTAGAACACTGCTTGGAGTTTACTCATAATGGGCTGAGTTCCTTCCTTTCCACCAAGCCACAACTCTTCCTTTGGAACCTCTGAATTCAAAGGATGCTTCACAGGTGGAGTACCATGATGACTTCATAAGAAAGAGTTTGTTTGAGACAGATATTTTCAATTTTCTCTTAAAGATAATTTCACGTACTTCTTCAAGCAGGACTGTGTTCAAAATCACTTCCTGCCACATGAATTCTGATTGTCATTGTAGTTTTCCTTGATGTACTGTTTGCTATTACAATCAACCCTATTTCAATTTGACCATGTTTGAATCTCAACTTAAGAATCTTTTTCTCTTAACAGCATAGAGAAATTAATCAATCAATCACAATATAAATGTCATGTTAATCATAATTATTTTATTTGGTGTTACATAATTTTTAGTTTACTGGTATTATTAACAAGTATAATTAGAAACTAACTGTTTTTTAATCAATATGACCTCAAATGTATTGCATTACTGCCTATCACTAATTCCATTTACTTACTGAAAAAAATTGTCTTAATGTGGAAATGTAAGTGTAGGTTGTACAGTGCATCCTAAAATGAATCTGGCAAATATACAGTGCTAAAAACTATTGTCCAAGCATAGTATGTTGATGTGGGTTCCATATCTCCAAAACTCCCATAAGGGAAATCTGCAAGTATTTCATATGATAATTACTAACTCTGTGTTTTAGGTTATTTAAGAGGGTTAATGTCTCATAAAAAGTTGATGTATTTTAATGGAACTTTCAGGCCAGAAGGATAAAATGCATGTGCGAGTTATATGACATTCTTATTGATCATGCTTCCATATTTTCATCTGCCCGTTAGGCACTCCTCTCCTCTGACCAGCATTTCTCCTTTTCAGCCCCAGGTCTCTGTCTTCTCCATTCTAGGATGGAACCATTTGCCTCCTCTTTCAGCCCTTATTTACAGGAAAACATTTGCTGTCTGCCCTCCATATCTGCAGAATAAAAACTCAGGGATAAGAAGGGCTGACTGTATTCACTGTGCTAAACCATTTTATATAAGGAACTTGAGCATCTGTAGTTCCTGGTATCTGCAAGGGATCCTAAAACCAATCACCTGCCAATACAAGGAGGGCTGTACACTGTGGCATTTTCACTCACCTACTACCAAATCCTACAGATACTTTCAGTTTCTATGATATTCTGCATCATTTCATTCCATGATAAGATACTCTCTTGCTGGTTATGTACTCATCATAAGACACACTTTTTTTTTTCTGTAACAGCATTATATCTTGGTTGTCTCTCCCCTGTATTCTCGCCACCCCTTATCAAACTATTATGTTGGTTCCTCCTGTATATGAATTTCATTATCTTACTTCTTTAAAACAACTTAATGGAGCAGGTATTATCTTTACTAGTTTAGAAATGATGACCCTGAAGATGCTTTTGGTGTTGTTCAGTCACCCAGTCATGTCTGACTCTTTGAGATCTCATGGACTATAGCACGTCTGGCCTCGCTGTCCCTCACCATCTCAAGAAGTTTGCCCAAGTTTATGTCCATTGTATCAGTGATGCCATCCAGCCATCTCATCCTCTGATGCCCTCTTCTCCTTCTGCCCCAAACTTTCCCAGCATCAGGGACTTTTCCAGTGAGTTGGCTCTTCACATCGGATGACCAAACTACTGGAGTTTCAGCTTCAGCATTAATCCTCCAATGAGTAATCAAGGTTGATTTCCCATAAGATTGACTGGTTTGATCTCCTTGCTGTCCAAAGGACTCTCAGGAGTCTTCTCCATCACCACAGTTTGAAGACATTAGTTCTTTGGCATTCTGCCTTCTTTATGGTCCAGCTCTCACAATTGTACATGACCACTGAGAATACAATAACCTTGACTATATAGACCTTTATTGGCAGAGTAATGTCTCTGCTTTTCAACAATATGTCTAGGTTTGTCATCACTTTTCTGCCAAGAAGCCATCATCTTCTGATTTCACAGCTGCAGTCACCATCCGCAGTGATTTTAGAGCCCAAGAAGAGGAAATCCATCACTACTTCCACCTTTTCCCCTTCTATTTGCCATAAGGTAATGGGACTGAATGCCAAGACCTTGGTTTTTTTTTTTTTTTTTAATATTGAATTTTAAGCTGGCTCTTTCAGTGTCTTCCTTCACCCTCATCAAGAGGCTTTTTAGTTCCTCTTCACTGTCTGCCATGAGAGTGGTATCATTCACATATCTGAGGTTGTTGATGGTTTTCCCACCTATCTTGATTCCAGCTTGTAACTCATCCAGCCTGGCATTTCTCGTGATGTGCTCAGCATATAGGTTAACCAAGAGGGTGTCAGCAGATAGCCCTGTCATACTCCTTTCTCAATCTTGAACCAATCAGTTGTTCCATACAGGGTTCTAACTGTTGCTTCTTGACCTGCATACAGGTTTCTCAGGAGACAGGTAAGATGGTCTGGTATTACCATATCTCTAAGAGCTTCTGAAGCTTGTGAAGCTCTTAAAGAGATGGGAAGATGCTTTAAGATTACATAAATAATACATGGCAGGCCTAGGATTTGAATCCAAATCTATATGCCTTCAAAGTCAGAATTTTCCAATCTGCACTGCCTTGCGAGGCCACGGCTGGGCAGACTCCAGTGCTTGCCTCTCTCCCTGATAAAGGTAGGACTTTCCAGGTGTCCCCAGTGGTAAAGAACTCGCCTATCCGTGCAGAAGATGTAAGAGACGCTTATGCCATCTCTGGGTTGGGAAGATCCCCTGGAGGAAGGCGTGGCAACCCACTCCAGTATTCTTGCCTGGAAAATTCCATGGACAGAGGAGCCTGCTGGGCTCCAGTGCAGAGAGTCGCAAGGAGCCGGACACGACTGAAGTGACTTAGCAGCAGCAGCAGCTGCTAAAGGAATCCGATCAGCTAGCTTTCCTTTGTTCTTTAGGGCTATTTCGACCCATGCCTAATCTGCATTCTACCCATTCAGTCTCTTACATTTCATCTTCCTGCATGCCTAGTTTTGAGTAGTACATAGTTTTTCAGTTTTATCACTTTCATTGTTTTTTTTTGGTATTGTTTGAAGACTGCTGCAAATCTCACTATAGGAAAGCAATCGGCACAGCCGCGTGATTGTCACAAAATTTGAAGAATCACATCAACTTCTTGATAAGTCTAGACAATCTAAGTATGTATAAACTATTGCTGTTTTAATGCCAAGACATTGTGACCCATATATTCCTTTGTATAAAGAAGCAAGTCAAATGTTTTTAGTAAATAATTGCGTGATATCTCTTGTATCTGTTCCCACAAATCTTTAAAACCAAGTGTCCCACCAATAGAAGTTATAAAGGTTTTGCTGTCTATAATGAACAAAAGCCAAGTATAATTAATCCTGGCCAATTCTCTCAGCTCCCTTGTACCCTTTAGCTCTATCACTTTGGAAATCATTGAGGGTTAGGTGTGATTGTAACTAATACATTCCCATACGTGTCTAACACCTCTTCTTAGCAGCCCCAGACTTCCGTATGCACAATTATTCTGGAAAGTGTAGATTTATTCCCTTATGAGCATTTTCAAAAAGGTGCAAACTGAAGTGTAAATGGCATTCATCTCACCAAGTCGATTGGAATGTAGCTGCCGTTAAGGTAGTTTTAAAAAAAGAAATATAATGTCTCTCTCAGAGATAAAGATTTTGAATACAAAATATCTAGACCCAAACATCCTTTACATCTAGACTCAGTTTCAGCAGTTTGATTTGCCGCTTTAATTTGAGGACAGTCATGGTTTGGGTATCATTTGAAGACAAAGCTTGGAAATCTGAATAAACAATGGGGTAGGTCTCTCTTCATGTACGTGGTGTATTTTTGCTAAGACTGTGCTTCTAGAAAGAGGTAAATGCGACTTTGTTAAGTGACAGATCTGCTCTGTTCTCTCATGCATGTAAGCACAATCTCAGACTAGCTGGCTGTGAGGGTAATTTCATTTTCAAGTAATTTATTCATTAAATAATCTCTTCCACATCTTATTAAAACCCAATAAGTGTAAGAAAAAGAAAAAAAAAACCCTGCTTTTAGAAACTACAATCAATCTCACTGATTTAAAAAGTAAAGCAACTTTCAGTCCCACCCCCATCTACCCTGATTCTGACTCTAAATGAAAGAACTGGGATTNCCACATCTTATTAAAACCCAATAAGTGTAAGAAAAAGAAAAAAAAAACCCTGCTTTTAGAAACTACAATCAATCTCACTGATTTAAAAAGTAAAGCAACTTTCAGTCCCACCCCCATCTACCCTGATTCTGACTCTAAATGAAAGAACTGGGATTTAAGTATCTTTGTTCTGTGCTTCTCATAGTAAAGGCATACAATAGAAATGCAATAAATGTTTGTAGTAATCAACTCAATATATAAATGCTGCTGCTGCTCATAGAAATGACTGAATCCTACAATGGCAAAAAGGCTGAATAGCCTACTCTCACATGATCTGAAGTTGGAATGAATAGGTTTGGTTTTGTTTTGCTTTGCGTTGTTTGTCAGACTTGGAGTTTTTAAATAGGTAAGCATGGGGTTAATTTTGACAGGTAAGTTTTACTGTTTGGATACACATTAAACATTTGGTTTTAATTGAGGTTTTCTGCTCAGGCCACCCAAAAGTTTCCTTTTAAGAATATGTTTATGTCTGTATGTTTTTTCCCTGTCACTATTTGCTGATGCAGTATTTAATTTCTTTCATTTATGGCCTAAAGTATAATATTCTGCCAAATGAAAGAGAGTTCACTAAGTATGAAAAAAACATATTTTCCAGTTTCCCATTAGAAAATCCAAACCTCCATAGTTCCATTTGGATGCTGCATTTTACTATTTTGTCCAAATTCACTAGTTACAGATGTTTTAAAAAAAAGTGCTAGAAGGAATAAGACCAAGATCTAACCTGAATATGGAAATTAACCCAGTAGGTATCCCAAATTTTGTTTCCCCTTAATTTAAAATTACATGAAACTAAAATAGCTAGTAAATTCAATCAATTTTTTAAAAATACATGAAAATGATTTTTCATTGCCTGATTTTTAACACACTTAAGGGCACACACATACATCTTATACACACAGGAGAAAAAGATTGATTTCTTAATAATTACTTTTACAAATCTAGATGATAGCAGAAGTCCTACAACTTTGCTTTTCATGTGTTGTTATCTTCATGATTAGGCAAGCATCAGTAGACTCCAAGAAGCATGCGCTCCAAAAGTCTAAGGATCAGGTGGTAAAATTTCATTCTTTTAGTATAAGAATGCATGCATGCTTGGTCTCTCAGTCATGTCTTATGACTCCATAGACTGTAGCCTTCCAAGCTCCACTGTCCAGGGAATTTTCCAGACAAGAATACTGGAGTGGGTTTCCATGTCCTTTTCTAGGGGATCTTCCTGACCCAGGGATCAAACCCACGTCTCTGCATCTCCTGTGTATTCAAGCAGATTCTTTACCACTGCACCACCTAGGAAGTCCAGTACAGGAATAAATTTAGTAAAAAAAAAAAAAAAAAAAAACTTATAGAAGTAACCCACCCAGAGAAAAGGTTTGCAACTTTGTTGGAAATTAAGAAGTTTGTGATTTAATTAGTCTTAATTCATTTAGAGAAATATGGATCATGGCATTCTGTATGGAACTTGGGGAAAATAAAGTTTAAATAAATCAGTATTTTTTAGTACTATTGAAAGGATAACAAGGCATTATTTGAGAGGCATCAGCACTTAAACCATTAGAAATCTGTACTCTATAGGAAAGCAGATGATTTTCCAAGCTCTACCACAGCCTGAGTGAAATATTCCTCAAGACCAAGCAAATCGCTTTGCCTGGATTGCATGCTCAGCATATACTTTTATAGAAAGAAAAAGATGCCACAGTTTGCAAATATAATCATTCCAGGAACTAGAAAGGAATGTTAAAAAATTCTCTTTTATGTGAAAAATTGGTATTCTATTTCATAAGCTAAACCTTTGTTAAGGCAAATAATTCTACAAATATTCATTGAGCTAGACATATAAAAATGAGCAAGACAGTCTCTGCATTGAGGAAATTCACAATATGAAAGCCTCTGCTACAGGATATTTGTTCAAGTCCTGATGGTTTAAATGCAGATGGGAGAACACATTGATTGTGCCTGGGTTTGTCTGCTGGAGACTTCCTACACTGGTGATATTTCTACTTCAATGGATAGTTTTCCTTCATGAGTTTAGTTAGCATATAAATTGAACTACATTTCATAAGAAGTAGATCACCAAATTAATTGTTTGCATCTCTCTTTGCCCCTCTTTGTACTGTTTTAATAATATCACATTGAAAATGATTAAACTATGAATATATAGTAATGTTTTAAGTTGGTCCGAGAAGGGCAACCTGAATAGGACTGGGTGTCTGAACTTTCAATACAGTAGATCTTGTTGTTCAGTCGCTCAGTCATGTACAATTCCTTAGACCCCAAGGACTGAAACATGCCAGCCTTTCCTGTCCTTCACCATCTCCTGGAGCTTGCTCAAACTCAAGTCCTTTGAGTCGGTGATGCCTCCAACCATCTAATCCTCTGTCATCCCCTTCTCCTCCTGCCTTCAATCTGTCCCAGCATCAGGGTCTTTTCTACTGAGTCGGCTCGCTGCATCAAGTGGCCAAAGTTTTGAAGTTTTAGCCTCAGCATCAGTCCTTCCCATGAATAATCAGGATGGATTTCCTCTAGGATTGACTGGTTTGAACTCCTTGAAGTCAAAGGTACTCTCAAGAGTCTTCTCCTACACCACAGTTCAAAAGCATTGATTCTTCGCTGCTCAGCCTTTTTTAGGGTCCAGCTCTCACATCCATAACACAGCTACTGAAAAACACATAGCTTTGACAATATGGACCTAAGCTGGCAAAGTAATAGCTCTGCTTTTTAATATGCTGTCTAAGTTTGTCATAGCTTTTCCTCCAAGGAGCAAGCGTCTTTTAATTTCTTGGCTGTAGTCACCATCTGCAATGATTTTGGAGCCCAAGAAAATAAATTCTATCTCTATTTCCATTGTTTCCCCATCTATTTGCCAGGAAGTGATGGGACCTGGGCCATGATCTTAGTTATTTGAATATTGAGTTTTTAAGCTAGATCTTACCTAGCTTAAACTAGATCTTATCTTATTATTTTATTACAGCAAAGAAAATAGCTACAATTGCACATGGGCATACACATATATGGGGCTTTCCAGGTGGTGCTAGTGGTAAAGAGCATGCCTGCCAATGTAGGAGTCTCAAGAGACATGTGATCAATCCCTGGGTCAGAATGATCCCCTGGGGTAGAAAATGGAAACGCATTCAAGTATTCTTGCTGGAAAATTTTAAGGACAGAGGAGCCTCATGGGCTACACAGTCCATGGTATCACCAAGAGTCAGACACCAATGAGTACCCATGCAAGCAAGCAAAATGTGCATATATGCACACATAAAAATTCAAATAAAAATCATTGAAAAATAATACAGGTTTTATTGAAGTTGGGGAACTATGGTTGTCGATAAACTACACATATTCTTGAAACTCCCCTTTAAGTTTCCTCTCTTCCCTATTCTTTTTCAGCTACTCTTTCTTGTCCTTTGTCCCTATTCCCTTAATGTTTCCATTTGAAACATTACTTCCACAAACCTGTAATATACCCAAAACTACAATTTAAAAGTTAGTGAAAAAATGTTTGACAGTATTCAAAACTTTCCTCTAATTAAAACGTAGACTTCTTTTTGCCAGTCAAGCATGAGGTGAGGATCCTTAATTCAGATGTGTAATTCCCAAATGATAATGAAAAACAGTTTAATCTTTCTCTTTATAAATGTAAGCAGGGAATAAGGAAAAATTTGTGAAATGCTCATTATACATCAGGAACTGCAGGTAAAATATCACTTGTGATTCTCACTATAATACTAGGTAAATTTTTTTTTAAAATTTTAACAGACAAGGAAGTTGACACATTTCATTAAGGATATAGATGAGAATTAAAGCCAAGTTGGCCTGACTCTACATACTTGCTTTCCCAATACATTAGAATGATTTTACAAAAAGTGGTAACAGCAGTTTATTATGAATGTGTGAGCACAGACACTTGAAAATAAACTGATCTACAACAAACTTCCTGAGGCTCCAAAATATGTTTGACCTCTTTTCCTTTCTCTTCCCCCACAAAAATTCATCCACATTCTGAAACTAATGATTTTATGAATAATCCCCAATTGTTTAATGCCATAAACTCCAAAGCAACAACCATTATTTTCATCTGGAAATTTTGAGATTGTGAAGGAGGAGAAATCTTTCCTAAAGTTGCCTTTTAGGGAAAAGTGAGCTTTTAAGATCTATTTTCTCAAAATACCATTCTGTAAGTGGTCTACCAAAGACACTCCAGTTGGGAGACTTAAAACATGAATCTACCAGTGACCAAGGATGACAAAGATTGACACAGGATATTTGAAACATAAAATAAAAATGGTCTTTATGTAATTACCAGAGCCACTAAAATAAAAAATTCTAACATGATAGAACCCTTCCAGAATTACAAAACTTCTATGCTGATCTAGCTGCATTTTTGGAGTTCTTCAGCTGACAAGGACATTTGTCAGGGTAAGGACATACAGAGAATTGTATCTACTGTATCTAGCTGTAAACTTTCCAACATCCCGGGAGGAAAGTACATGTTTAAGACTTTTTCAGCAACCACTAAAGCAGTATCAGGAAACTACAAGTTACAGTATAAGACAATTAAAACAGGTATCATGATTTGGTCCAGAGTTTTATGTATTCCCTCTTAGAAGAATTTGAATAAAAGTCCAAAATAGCCCAATATAGATGTCTACATTGAGAAAAGGCAAAGGAGCGCCTGTAGCAACTAAGAAAAATATTCTCTGCTAATGAGCCATTTCCAATCAGAAACTAATAATATAGGGAGACTAGATAGGACATTCTACAAATAGTCATACATTTTCTAATGTTAACCAGCAAGTTATAAAATAGTTTTTCTTTATTTGAGAAATGCATTGCGCTGTATAGAGAATTTACAGTTTTAAAGAGAATGATTGATGTGTTGAATTTGAAAAAGTTCACATAATTTAGTAATGTAACCTCCTTTTCTGTTATGATTTGAAGCATTTGCAGCTGTAATGGCCTTTGAGTCCCTGGGATAAAGGCCTCAGCCAAAGCCAGGAGTTGCCTATAAAGTTCTCCTTGACAGAAACTGGGATGGAATCCAGGCTCATTTCAGCAATATTTGTGGAGAAGAGGATTGAACTCAATATATTTGACCCAAAAGTGCATTTTTGGGGCTTGCACCATATTTATTAAAGCCTTGTGGCAGACCTAGAAGTTATTAAATGGGTGAGAGCTGGCTTTATAAAGACACAGTTCTAAGCAGCCATGGTTCAATTCGACATACTTTTACTGATCACCTACCTGCAGACATATCCTAGACTAGGAACTCATGGTTATAAAAAAAGAGGCAAGTATCATTCACAAACTCACTCAACTCTCAGTCTAGTAGAGAGAGAAGGCAGATATAAATAACCATAAAACATGGTATGATATGATAAAAGATTGAAAAACGGGTACACGGTGCAACAGGGAGTTACAGATACTGAAAAACATCAGGACTGCATTCACAGGGAAAGTAGCATTTTGAGTTGGGTGCTGATGAAATTGTGCATGACTGGTGTGTGTGGCAGGTTGGAGTATGGGGACAGGATTCCAACTAAAAAATTAGTAAATTCAGAATACATTCAAGAAACTGAAGTTAGCATTTCAAGAAGCAACATTTTAGCTGGATTCTAAGATACATATTTTCAGAAGAAAATATTTTAAAATATTGAAATTAAGATTTTGATATGATTGTCATTGGTTCAGTTGGACTTGTAAAGATAATCGGAACAAATAAGATAGAAAATCAGGAATTTGAAAATCGAACGGAGAAGAGTTAGGGCCACTGCTTCAGTAACCACCAGTCCTGTGGCCTAGAATATTACTTTCCTATTGCTGCTGTAATTGTCATAATTTTTGGCTTAAACCAACAAAAATGTATTATTTGACATTCTTGAGGTCGAAAGTCTGAAAGGGATCAGCAGAGTTGTAATCCTTATAGAAGTGTGGGGAGAAAATCGACTTCTTTGCTATTTCCAGCTGGCAAAAGTCACCCCATTCCTTGGTTCATGGCCTCTTCCTTCATTTTCAAGGACAGCAGCACAGCATCTTCAAATCTCTGCTTCTGTCACCACATCTTCTATGATCCGGATCCTTTTCTTCCCCTGTTATAGGGATCTTTGTGATTACATTAGTCCGAACTGGGTAATTTGGGATTTGTTGTTTCATCTGTAAGTTGTGTCTGACTCTTTTGCAACTCTATGGACTATAACCCGCCAGGTTCCTCTGTCCATGGGATTTCCGAGGCAAGAATACTGGAGTGGATTGCATTTCTCTCTCCAGGGGATCTTCCTGACCCACGGATTGAATCCGCATCTCCTGCTTGGCAGGCAGATTCTTTACCACTGAGCCACCAGAGAAACCTAATTCAGGATTATCTTCCCATTTAACAATCCTTAACTTAATCACACCTATAAAGTCCCTTTTCCATGTAAGGTAACATATTTACATTTTCTGGGGATTAGGATGTGAACATCTTTGAGGGACAATTTTTCAACCTACTGTGCCCTTGGAACTTTATCTAATCTCTAAAGCATAGCTTTTTATCATGTTGTAAAATAGGGATAATAATGTTTCACAGGGTTGTTCTGTGGCTCAAATGAAAAATAGAATAAAAAACTATTAGCATAACACTTAATAAAAAATTGTAATTACCATCATTAGTGTTGTACATGGTATTATCATTTTGAGATTTCTGGATATAAGAAAGAGCTTTACCCATTTTATTTGGTGATATAGAGTGATCCTTTGAGGAGCAAGATTAGTTACACTGTCAGAACTTGATATGTCAACATTGAGTGTCATGAAGTTTTCTATGGAAAGAATAGAGACATAGGACACTCTTATAGGATGTAGTAAGGCAGTATAAATTTTCAAGGGGACTATAGGACAAACTACAAATATTTGCAGTGTATATGATAGGTGTAGAATGAATATTCTCATGAGTTTTAGACTGCCTGAAATAGGCAAACAATATTATTCCAATAGAAAACTTGACAAGAACATGATAAAAATTCTCTGAAAAAGGATCACAAATCAAAAACAAATGTTTAAACTATATATTTACAATAGGTAGTGATCAAATAAAGAAGTGCTAAAATAATTAATTGCTATGATCCATAAATAGCACATGAGAAATAAAGAAACTATTGAGGGTGATACTGGATCTTATCCAGTACTACATCCTCAACGAGTAATGCGATCTCACCTTTTGGAAGCTGGAGGGGGTGTTGGCCATATTCAAAGGAGTACATAATAAATTAGAAACAATAAGAAGACATATTATGGAAAATGAAGCAGAGTTTTCTCAGTGGTGGCCTGTGGTAAATTTAGAAAAATATTCACAAAAGTGTAGCCTTCAAATATCCACCAAGTCTTGAGAGTAACAAGTTAGTTTACAAAAATGTCGAGCCCATGAAAAATGTCTTATTTTCCTCACCTCTTCTTTATCTGCTTCAACCCCAAAGGAGAAATAAACAGAACAATACAAATAAACAAGTGAACCAAAGAACTCCACAGAATTCATTCAGAGAAAGAGGAGGTTCAGAAAAAAAGAAAAAGGCCAAATACCTTCTATTCCTGAAGTCAGGAGGCCCATCTGTAATAGGCAAGGTCTCAAAAAGCTGTAGAGAATGTTTTTCTTTGAATGAAGCTCAAAGTTTCTGTTATTACCTGAGGCTAGATGCATTTAATTACTGAACTGAGAATACATTAAGCAATTTAAGTTGCAATAGGACTTGCTCTTCCATAAAAGTGATTGGAAAAGTCATGAACTTTTACCACTGAATGGTTATGGAGGGAGAGTGGAAACACAATACAGCTGCTTTTTATTACCCTTACTGAGTACTAGTAGGACAGTGTACTTATTATACATACATTATAATTATGTATGTATAGCCATCATTAACATTAATAAAAGCTAGGAAATAATCTCAATATTCAAAACCAAAACAATATTATTCCAATAGAAAACTTGACAAGAACATGATAAAAATTCTCTGAAAAAGGATCACAAATCAAAAACAAATGTTTAAACTATATATTTACAATAGGTAGTGATCAAATAAAGAAGTGCTAAAATAATTAATTGCTATGATCCATAAATAGCACATGAGAAATAAAGAAACTATTGAGGGTGATACTGGATCTTATCCAGTACTACATCCTCAACGAGTAATGCGATCTCACCTTTTGGAAGCTGGAGGGGGTGTTGGCCATATTCAAAGGAGTACATAATAAATTAGAAACAATAAGAAGACATATTATGGAAAATGAAGCAGAGTTTTCTCAGTGGTGGCCTGTGGTAAATTTAGAAAAATATTCACAAAAGTGTAGCCTTCAAATATCCACCAAGTCTTGAGAGTAACAAGTTAGTTTACAAAAATGTCGAGCCCATGAAAAATGTCTTATTTTCCTCACCTCTTCTTTATCTGCTTCAACCCCAAAGGAGAAATAAACAGAACAATACAAATAAACAAGTGAACCAAAGAACTCCACAGAATTCATTCAGAGAAAGAGGAGGTTCAGAAAAAAAGAAAAAGGCCAAATACCTTCTATTCCTGAAGTCAGGAGGCCCATCTGTAATAGGCAAGGTCTCAAAAAGCTGTAGAGAATGTTTTTCTTTGAATGAAGCTCAAAGTTTCTGTTATTACCTGAGGCTAGATGCATTTAATTACTGAACTGAGAATACATTAAGCAATTTAAGTTGCAATAGGACTTGCTCTTCCATAAAAGTGATTGGAAAAGTCATGAACTTTTACCACTGAATGGTTATGGAGGGAGAGTGGAAACACAATACAGCTGCTTTTTATTACCCTTACTGAGTACTAGTAGGACAGTGTACTTATTATACATACATTATAATTATGTATGTATAGCCATCATTAACATTAATAAAAGCTAGGAAATAATCTCAATATTCAAAACCGGTAGAAATAAGATAAATGATGAGACAAGAGTAAGTAGAAATGTATGTGGTTTTAAAACACTCTTATTTTATCATAAAATCTTGGACAGTGATTGCTCAATGTATCTGTTCATTTTAATATAAAATTAATTTTGTAAACTATTCACCATAGAGGGCTGTGATGTTTTCCATTGTTCTGCAGTGGTTTGTTAACTTGGACTATATTGAAGAGATTTGATGCTTCCCATTAGACCTGAGAGTCAAACAGTTTCTCTTTTCATGCTTTGGATTTAGAACATTGTGAAGAGGGAAGTGCAAAATTATCACAAAGAATGATAAAATAAAGTAGCAATGATTTTTGATATTGCAAGTTTTAGATGTATGTTGTTGAAAAAATACAATCTGTAATATGAAAGAGAAATAATATCTGTGATGCACTGAACAATCTCTTTATTATGTCAAGGGAATATTTCTCAAAGGACTTCTTAGAAAGGAAAGATTCTTTCTTTCAACACATTTATTGGGTGTCCATAATAAAGCAATAATCACACCAATTCCCAGAAATAAAACAGGACACCTACCAGATATGTTTCTTGGTACTAGGAAGGGTGCCAGATAATCATGATGGTATGATCACTCACCTAGAGCCAAACATCTTGGAATGCACAGTTAAGTGGGCCTTAGGAAGCATCATTACAAAGAAAGCTAGTGGAAGTGAGAGATTTCCAGTTGAGCTATTTCAAATCATAAAAGATGATGCTGTGAAAGTGCTGCACTCAATATGCCAGCAAATTTGGAAAATGTGGCAGTGGCCACAGGACTGGAAAAGGCCAGTTTTCATTCCAATTCCAAAGAAAGGCAATGCCAAAAAATGCTCAAACTACCACACAATTGCCCTCATCTCACATACTAGTAAAGTAACACTCAAAATTCTCAAAGGCAGGCTTCAACAATACGTGAACAATGAACTTTCAGATGTTCAAGCTGGTTTTAGAAAAGGCAGAGGAACCAGAGATCAAATTGCCAACATCTGTTGGATTATTGAAAAAGCAAGAGAGTTCTAGAAAAACATCTATTTTGCTTTATTGACTATGGCAAAGCCTTTGAGTGGATCACAAACAAACTGGAAAATCCTTCAAGAGATGGGAATATCAGACCACCTGACGTGCCTCTTGAGAAACCTGTATGCAGGTCAGGAAGCAACAGTTAGAACTGGACATGGAA